AGTGGCGATCCACACCAGCCTACAATTTCGCCACTTTCATATCCTGCAACGTCAACACCTAATGTTTTGGACCGTCAGTATCAGCCCGCAACGTCGACACATAATGTTTTGGATCATCCATTTGCAACGTCGAGCATTTTAGGCCATGCATTCGCTACAGCGAGCATTTTGGACCGTCCAATTGTGCCCTCCCGGGTGAGCCAAGTGGCCAGTCTTCACGGAGTCCGTTAACTAGCCCTAATTCACTACCAATTCGATCTACTTCTGATGCTTTACTCAATCCAAAAGTAGTACTCCAGTTATTGCAACCAATAGCCATTGGGTATGACACGATTGGAAAAATTGCCGTAGCTCTTGTCAGATACTCGTTTTTTTGGGGATGATGTTCTCCAGGTTTCAACCTTGAAAGGAAAGGGATCTAAGCGTGCTCTGGATGCTCATAAACTAGAAGCCTTACATTCCTTTTTACACAGTGTACAACCTTTCAGCAATTTGAGAAAGAATGAGTTCAACTTATTAGTGAAAGGAAAAATTGATGGTGCATTAAAAGACCACTTGAAAACTTCTTTCAATCGGTCATCTTTAAAGTAATTTTTGGATTTCCATTGTTTTACATTATTACCTGTGTTTTGGAATTCCGAAGTTGTTTATTCTATCTTCTTTCAATATCTTGTATTTTTTCCTCATTTACACAATTTTTGTAAATGTTGTTTTTTTGGAATTCCATAGTTGTTTATAATTTAATTATGTTATTGAATACTTGCTGGGGTTGCTTATCATGTGTATGATCTTCAATTAAAATATCTATTGTGTTTCATTAATATTACTTGTGTAAATGTGATTTTTGGAATGCCATAGTTGTTTTATTTACAACGGTGTGTACCATTTACATCTTCAGAGGGGTCTGCTTCCAGAGGACTGTATAATTATGAATTATTGCCGAGCGCATTAGCGCGAGGCAACTATTCGCGATATAATTATGTATAATGTACGTACACGTACGTCGTATATATGTCAATTAGTCACCAAAATTAAAAGGAAGTGTAACTTCCGTAATTTGGCGTCTAGCTTCCGCCGTGCGCGCACACACCGCGCGCCGCGTCGCGGTGCGCGCATGCGTAAATCACCGTACACACGTGCTGCAGTTCGGACGAGTGATCATGAGAGTGGCTATCTGTGAGGACGTCCTCGCGAGTTAGGAGTGAACACGGTATATTATACCTAATATATTTTTGTAGAACCGTACACAGCCAGTAATACGTTCATGTATGTTTCAGATGTCAACGTTGGAGACATCGGAGGGTGCCACCATTCCCACCGTGTTGTTTGAAAACTTGCCGGAACTGCCGTTCGTGGATTATTGTCCCCCCGATCAAGCAAAAGCGGTTCAGCCACCTTCGCCACCACCGTTGCGGTCAACGTCGCCGCCGCCGTCGTCGTCGGGCTCTTCGCCATCACGGTTACCACCGGCACTTCCCGGCCCTAGTGTACCCGTTACTCCAAGTGAGGGTAGTATAAGTTTCTCATACGTAGGCACGTGTGCCTATTATACGAGCACTAGCTAGCCGTCTCTTCTGAGGGTACCGTGTAATAAAGGTGTGAGGTCGCACGTTCGTGTATCGCTAAGTATATACGGTAGTACTTGGTGATTGGCATGTATTATAATATACACGTATATCCCAGATACATAGTCTGTGCCCAGCCCAGCGCGCCCCGCCTACACGCTGAAAATGAAGGCTGGATCTTTTAGTGTTGTGCCCAGACCGCTACTGCGTGAAAGAAGGTCTGGTATATAAGGTCTGACTTGTTGGTTGTGCTGAGTCAGCATGTGGATAAAATGGATAACCCAATCTGATTGCCGGATTTAAACTATTATGTGACATGAAGGCGATCTACAATGCTGACCAGTTCTGCTCATGCGCAGCGCAACAGAATGGATGGGAGTGCTTACCAACACATGCTGATTCAGCACAATCCAGAAATCGCACCTTATGTATTATACCAGACCCTCTTTCGCGTGGTAGCACGTGAGGGTCTAGGCACGAGACTAGGGATCTTTAGTCGAATTTCATAGGAGGTAAGACAGGATCACGTGACGATCAAATGCGGGCCTTGGAATGTGAGCAAAAAATGCTGAGTCGACACAAAATTGGCTTAGGGCTTGCACTTGAACAGGCACTGTTTGCGGGTTAGGCTTAAGCTGAGAAATCAGTATCTGTGAAAAATATTTTCCATGGCATCTCCCAATATGTGATTCATATCTTTAATGTACAGGATTCACCCTGGTGCCTTAAAATTATCTTGAATTCATGTATGGCACGTTTCGTGTATCATGGTCATACTTTATAATGTCCGTTGCTTGAATTTTTAGATTTACCCAGCAAGCATAACGGAAATCCCTCGAGGAATTATGTGTGGTTTGGCCTTGCTCCAGCTGATCTTGTTGTGAGTGTTTTTGTACTTAGTATACAACAGCTCGTATTATACTAAGTGGCTCATCATCGTATTCCTTATACCTAAGCACACACTGGGGTTGGTGGGGGGTTGCATTGTATGGTGACGTACAATGGCAGTTCCACTCAGATGAGGATGGACACGACATAATCACCATGGGCACAATTCACATTACATAATGCTTCTTCTACGGGGAAAAGCATTAAACTTGACGTCTTCTTCGTCACCATACATTCTATGTACACGCAGTCGGGAATGCAATTAACTCTGCAATACATACGTAACGTATATCGTGTCCATCCTCCTTAGGAGTATTTGGTTTGTGTGATTGCCTGTCTATCTGTCTGCTATTCTGGCAGAACAGGCTACGGGGCAGCATGTACCAACAGAATTGAATTAAGAAAAGCAAAAAATTCTGTTTTCAAAAGCCTGTGTGACCAAGTTAACACACCAACACACCTTAGAGCGTAAAGTGTCTTGGAGGTCAGTCCAGCGTATCCCCAAATGCTGCCAAGTGGCAGGAATATTACTAGTTTGTTGCATAAGATGTTTGCCTCCACTTTTCATTGTGGCGGTTAGGCATATTTCACATTTTAATGTAGAGGCCAAGGCAACATGAGGAGGAAGAAGACGAAGTTTTGGTACGTGTGAGTCACTGTTTGTGATTTTGTGCATAATGTCATTGACCCTCGGTGCACTTACATGGCGAGGGTTACAGTATTTGTGAAATCTTTATAGTGCTGTGACTAGCAATATTTGTTTGTATACAGTTATAGACAAATCATTCCAACGCGTTTTACATCATGCATAACCTTTCTCAACACAGGTAACTTCTTCCGACAGCTCTCGGAGTGAATCCCCATCTAGAGAGCAAGCACTAGTGGTATGTGCAGATATATGAACATACATGAAAGCTACGTTTATTTGCGAGCGAAGTGACTGCGTAGTTTCCTAATTGGCGGATATAATGTGACGGGCACTGCATGTACTGTAATGTTTTACGTGCAAAATAACATAATCACATACAGTGGGTCCCGGTTAATATCATACCTGGTGCATCCAAAAAATATGATAATATACTGATATTCTATAATGCTATAATGCTGGCGCATATACTGTGTATACTCTGGGTGTGTATACTGTGTATACCAATGTATAGATAGCGCACAATGCAGTTTGTTTAGCTAAGCTAATGAAGCTAGGCTAGCCTAGCTGTTTACATAAGCTGATGGAAGCCAGGTGGAGAATGGAGAGTTGCAAAACTCCAGCCCAAGGTTGTAGAATGCCTAATTACGCATGCGGGCCAAAACCAAAATTGCTCAATTTTTTTGATAATAGGCGGGTATGACATTATCCGTATTCTATAAAACGGAGTAAAATGTATGGGAAAGCATAGGAAATGGTTTTGTATTTCAGGTTTGTATGATTATAAACGGGATATTCTATTAAACGGTATGATATTAAGTGGGACCCACTGTACTAGATTTGTCTGTGAAAGTGTGCCCCAGCTGCAAGTGCTTGAGATGCAGAATAGTCAGGTTATAGGAATATCCTTGATTTTCAGGTGGCACATTTTTAGGCAGTGTGATTCTTTGTGTCGAGTGTTTCCACTTTAGTGATTTTTCATTTATTACTGGACCAGGTATCACAGTCCGAGGAGCCAGGCTCTGAAGTGAAGGACACTGAAGGCACGGTTGAGACAAACAGGGCGACAAGTGCGGAGTCCCAGGTAAGGTTCCTAAGTTTATTACCGTTATCTTTGTACACACTCAATGTTCACTAAATATATGTTAGACGATGGTTCCGAGGAGAATACATAAAATCAGAAACCTGAGGCCGGATGTAGCTATATATCCGAGTGCGAGGGTGCTACACGGTCCAAGGGTTCTGATTTTAAGTATTCTCCGAGAAATCCAGCGTCTTGTGCGCTCGCCTGTAATATCTACCATACTTATGGGAATTTTTCTCATTTTCTTTCAGGCTGCAGACACTAAAGAGAAGAGTAGCTATTGCGCTATATGCGCATTTGTGTTCATGGCTGGGATACTGACACATTCATTTCAGATGTCACATCGCACATTCCACACCCTCTGATCAGGTATATATGACATATCTCTAAGACACAAACTCAGCGAGATTCTATTATATCCCACAGGGAACACTTGTGACTAGATTCTCTTTCACTCTGCCAGTCCCGCAAGATGGCAGTGCTGCCAAGCATCAGCATCGTACACATAGTGTAGAGCAAAACTATGCTGTAGAGGCTGTAGAGCCAAGGGATGGCTGAGGTGACCACACCCCTTCATTTAGCTACTCTTCTACACTCTTGCTCCCTGTGGCAAGCGAGACCACGGCTGCGGCACACTGACCGGTAAAACGGCTATGAAACGAGTTTCTCTGAGGGAGAAAGAGCCACCATCACAACCTGTTCGATTGCGGTAGCCTCGAGAACCGAGAACTTGCTCAAAGCTAGCAAGTGCACACATGCGCATGGGTAGTATGCTATGTCTTGACTATCTCTTGCAGGAGGTCGGCGACTGCTACAAAGTCACAATAAACACATAATGTCCATCCTATCGTTCTATACACATGACTTATGGGAACTCAGGTTGTGGTCTTGAGTTAGTTCCCTTAAATCACGTATAGAATTCTAAACGCACATTATCTATTACGTATTGTGTTTTTTCAGGTTCTTCTGAAAGTCGGACGGGATGTTGTAGATGAAATAGAGACGTGCCTACTAAAAGGGATACTAGCATTTGACTGTGCCGGAAACGCAAAAGTGTTACAAATTCACCCCATTAGAGGGTCTTTGTCACGTTACGGGTTAAAGGTTATCCTGAATTTCCGGAGAAACAGGGATGATTGGTCTCTTCCTCAGAATTTCTATGATCTGATTCCCGCGTTAACGACAGCAGACAACCTTGGAGATGAAGTTTTCATTAGGCACATTGCGAATGAGCTTTGTGTGCACCCACTCAAATTGACAATGGCTTCCGACATCAAGAAAGTGTACGAGACAGGTACAGATTGATGAAGAGGGTGGTGAAGCTGACGATAGCTGCATGTGACCGATGTGTACTCTGCAAAGATGTTATAGTTGACCTCGACAGTGTCAACACTACCAACTGTTGCGGAGCCCGCATACACGTCATGTGCATGAAGATCGTGAGCACCTGTCCAGGATGTGGCGATGGATGGATACCACTTCCCTGCTGCAGATGCAAACATGATATGTCGTACAGTGAGCATGCAGTGGAAAGAATGGCATGCTGTGATGCCGACATACACAAGCACTGTTTGTTCGTTCTACGATCGAGGCAGTGTCCATCTTGTGGGGTTTATCTTAAAATGGATGGATATCCGTATATCCCAGTTTCAGTTGCAGAGTATGTAAAATCCCGTAGGGCAATGAGACGTGTGCAGCGTGCAAGAAATGGGGCGGTCGTTTAATGGACATCCAAAATTTTTCGACGCAGAAATCCTTTCACACATGTGTGGACATCTGCAGTTTTTGTCTCACGTACATACACCTGTTTAGTGGGCATCCACAATTTTTGTCAAACTATTTGATTACATATTCTGGCAGGCATCTGCATTTTTGTTATATGTACGTACATACGTACATATTTAGTGGTCATCCACAATTTGATACTTTAGCCGGCATCTGCATTTTTGTCATATGTACGTACATACATACATATTTAGTGGGCATCCACAATCTTTCTCAATCTCTCTTGGCATTCACAATTTTCTCTTTTTGTACATCAGTCTTGTGTATATATGTGTGTATCACCATTTATATCTTATGATCACCATCTACATTTCCATCAGTATACATTTGTTGTTTAATACAACACTACATATACCAGTGAGAGACAATGTGGAAATCCACTACACAAGAGTATGGGCATCCAACAACAATAAACAATGAGCATACAGTAGAGTGGACGTCCAATAACACAACAGTCGCTATATATAGTAGAATGCGAGACAATGTGGACATCCAACAACATGACAACACTCACTATAGATACAGCTATATACGTAGGTGTACATCCAATAATAGCCACACTTAACAAAAATGGTAGACTGGGGTGGAAATGTTATACTTGTAAGATGTTAAAACCCCGTTGCTTCTCCATTCACTCTTATCATTTCAGGGATAACCTTATCTAAGTGTGAAATATACTTCTGGCACTTGGACGGTGTCACAGTGGACCAGAAACGTAGAATTCCACTAACCAGCTCCTCCTTCCTCTTGGGCTTGGTAACCCTCCGAATGTATTCCTGTGATATGAAGTGTACAACCATTAATGTATTCTTGCTTGTGTGATTTGACACTGTATAACACCTGCTTAGGTAATACATACATACCTTTAGCTCATGCCATAAATTCTCTATTGGATTTGCATCAGGGCTCTCAGGAGGGGTTCGCCACCAGTTAATTGAATGCTGAGAAAAAAACTCCTTTGCTTGGCGAGAAGTGTGTTTTGGGTCGTTATCTTGCATGAATTCATGACCCGATGGGTAAACATCCCGGATAAAAGGAACAAGGAACTCCTCAAGAATCTTTATGTAAACGGAAGCCGTCATGATCCCTTCAAATATACAAACACCAGTTGCCCCCCTCCGACTTATTCCAGCCCAAACGTGTACTTTGACGGGGTGTTTTGGACGGGGTTTATACCGGGGTTTTTGGCCCTTCTTATAGCAATGAAAGCGGCGATGCGATTCCAATTGTACTGAGGTCTCATCCGTCCATATCACGTCTCCGAATGAACTGCCCAAGTTGACACGTGCCCACTCCCGTCTTTTAACGCGGTTCGGCTCCCGTATCATTTGGCAGTACGCCGTCCCGCGTCTTGTCCAGCCCAACAGGCGTCGTCCATTTAGGGCTGTCTTCGCGGAGACGGATTGTAACTCTCTCGCCGTTGTTTCGTCGTCTTGCTCCATGGTGTTGTCGATTTGTTGCAGTACAGCAGGAGTAAGCTTTGTTGGACGGCCTGATTTTGGCAACTTGTCTATTGTATCGTAGGTATTGACGTGGTGCTGTAATCGCCACACCGTTTGGCGGCAAACGGAGATATTCTCTTTTTCTCGATTTTCTACCACCTCCCTTGTAGTAGCTCCGCCGTCGAGCATGTGTTTGATCCTCTCCCGGCCGTACATGGAGAGATGAGGCTTGCGACGCGCCATCACTACGTGCGTGCGAACGTGCGTGCGTACGTACGTACGTACAGGTGAACACACGTTCCGCGCGCGCTCCCAGCCCCCCGGGCGCGGGGAGCTTCCATTCGCTTCCCCATATTGCGCGATTGGGAGGAGACTATTCGTGTACAGGGAGCGGCCTCCCGTTGGGGAGTAAAATTGTGAAGTGGTCGCTCCCGGTTGTTGTTGCACTTCTTTTTCCATATACAGTATATAGTACTATAGAAGACACACCTACATAAATTCCAAACACACCCTACATTGACGCTCAAAGTCAAACTGACACTACAATGAACTCAAGTATCAACTCATCAGTTGGACACAAGAGGCTACCAAAAAGTTGCATACTAGAGTCAACGATCAATTATCGACCACCATCAATTTTCGGACGCGTTTGTAAGACTATGAAATAAGCTAGACATAAACTGATAGAACATGCAAACCCCCACCTCAATGGCAATGCATGGGACTCTGTTTATGCACAGCCCTACTAGCAGGATCATGTACCACACATGTCTTTGCCGGGTCATTTCTTCGTCTATCCGAAGCAGAACTATAAGCAGAGTACAAAAAACAACACCTAAAGGACAAAGATAGAGAGTCATAGTTTAATATAATAAGCAAAGCCTACGCCCTCCTCCCAAAATTTACCGCCTTCTCCTGTGGAATCTCTTCGAATTCCTCCACGGCACCAGACCCTAAAACTGCTCTAAACAAACGCGTTCGGTTAGCACAGAAAGGCAGCACACAATCCACTACGACGGTAACTGATCACTCGGCCTTCGACCGGCCTCAATAAGGGCGTTCACTTCTTGCTGCAACCACCGCCACACGAGGGGTCCGAAACGGGTGGAAATCTCGTACGCTTATCAGAAATTCAGTTGGAAATCAAGGGAAATCAGTGAAAAGGAAATCGTGCGCGCCGCTTTATTCCGTTCACTATAAACTACAAGGCCGACCCTGCTGCGGCGCGCGCACTCGCTCAGGCCGGCCGCCGGCGACAGTATTATGGGCATCACTACTGTTCCTGACAGTAAAGGGAACTCATTTTTTGGGAGTGTACAGTTATAGAACCCTCGAGAGACCGAGAAATCAACTAGAAATCACTGGAAAATCGGGTGGAAATCAGTAGAAATAAGTTGGAAACCAGGGGCTTTTAGATAACGGCCCGTTACGTATATCCCCACACACGCGCATTATAACAATTTCAGGTTTTATTAGCGCGCGCATGACTGATAATGACGTCACACACTGACGTGGGCTGTGCACTATAATTATCTCTTTTAGTCGCTTCTGCGCCAGATCGGCAACTCGCATGCGTAATTCTGCCCAAAATCGACACTCATACCGCGCACGCGCGCTGTGGCGGTCTTTCTTTCTGCCGTTTTACAGACCAACGCACAGCCTCTGTGCCTGCCTTTCATCCTGCTGAGACATTTATGACATGTCTCACTCAATCCGGACTTTGTTGCTTTTTTGAAGTGCTGATGAAAGGAACATCAAAGCTCCAACTGACACATCCATGCCGACCGACCACTTCTGAGGATGCGTGGGAATAATTTATCACCCTATAGTCGGAGTGTCACCTCCAGAATGAATGGTCTCAGTTGAGGTTCCAACCTGCCGAACATGTATGGCTGAACCCGGGAACACACTTCCAGTCCACGTGATTTCTTTACCACTGGATCACAAGAGCTCAATTTGAAGTGTGCTGCATCAAGGGGTTCCCAATTACTAAGCTCACTGTGCAATGTTCATTTCTGCAGCTAAGGAGTCTTGGATCTGTTTTGCATTAGTAAGCCGTCCTCAAGAGTCCACCAAGTGTCTGAATTGATATTGATTCCAGGCATTACCTTTACTATCAAACTCATGAGCAACAAATTAACACATTCTTTGTAGTAAACTTGGTTAACTTCACTTGTCTGAGCACCATTTATATATCTACGATAATTATCTCTAAATTGGCCAGTATTGATTGTGCTTGGCTCGTCTTACTTTACATTACTGCTCCTTGGTGGTGTATAAGAAATACATACGTGCACTTCATGCATTCCTCCACTACCCCAACCAACCAAGCAACACCAACTGACCCCTACTTCCAACTCAAGAGTTACTTAGCAACTATGAACCCCTGCTAAAGTATATACGTTCGCGCTGAGAATGCATGCGGAAGTAGATAATAAGGAGGGCGGTATAATTTATTATGCTATTCTCGCCGTATGTAAAGTATGCCATAGAAATGTCTAGTGGAACCCACGGTCTCCTGCAGCCACTACTACATCAATTTCTGCTTATTTAAGGAGACACCTATGGCGCCCAAAGGAGGACGTGTTGATTATTGTCAAATTTACAGCAACACCTTAGCCTAGGGATGCATTATTGAGGCAACAACCGTTCTTTTTAATAATAGGTGTGTATTTCTTGCAGACATGTCCATGATGTTCTACCAATGTTAGCACATGCGCAACGTGAGAATCATCCGCGCGCATGCGCAGCAAGGGTTACGTCTGTACATCTCACTTCACGTCGCTCATACCACGTATTTAGCATTCAAAAATTAAACTGTAGCTATATAGCCCGTATCAGGCTGTCCGCGAGCTACTAGCGTGGAAGCCACGAGTAACTTGGCCCAACCCATCAATTCCAAAGTTCCAAAGTTCATGTTATGAGCCCAAGAGGGATACAACGATTATGCATACAGAAAAATATAAGCATATATAAATGACGTGAACATGAGAAGAGATTAGAGAGAATTGGAGAGGGTAGTGGCAATCGTGAGGATGTTTTCGTGAAAACCTCCTTCAATGGATATGTCACTGTTGCAGTCGTCTGAGCTCACGTGCTCGAAGTACGAAGTGCTCTGGTGGATGATGTTGTTGCAGATGGGACATTTTCGCTTTCCAAACACTGGTCTGCACATTACACTCAGTAGATGTTGAGTTAAACGAGTTCCACGAACTCCGTGATCTAGGGCGATGTCCCATAGCTTGCACCATGAGGAGGCAATTCGAGGGTCCGCAATGTGCTTAGTCGACTGGTGACACTTGGCCATCTCTAGCACAATTTCCCAGTCCCTTGAGATCAGAGCTTCTTTTGCTTCTTGCAGTACTAATTGAGCATTTCCAGGGTCAAAGGCATTGTGCCGCGAATGATGTACCAAACTCACTTTCAAGTAGCTGACATTGCTCGACCAGACTGATCTTACTGACATCCTCAGAGGCAAGTGTACGGAAAACACGAGAGCTGAGGTTGTCGCTGGTAGATTGGAGAAGCTTCACTAGAAAAGTTAACTTCCTTAGAAGGATGCAAACGCCGAGAATCTACCCACTTTAGAGCTTTTTCAATATGCCTTGAACAGGTTAGCTAGATGGTTGTGAGAGAAAGAGTTCTGCGGGAATTATCTCCCCTCTGTGAAGAATATCAATGCAGTCTCTTACTGCCTCTCGCAAGAACGGGTCGAATACTGTATACTTCCGGATACTTACGGATACTTCCGCACTGTCAGGAAGCGGATATCAGAACATTCCTAGGGTGTGGTTATAGAATTATTTCTGTTGCTTGTGCAATCGTGTTTTTGTTATAGGGAAGTCGTCCGGTATATACTGGCGACTATGCATGGCCCGTCATTAGACTCCTGAGTATGGCCTGCGCTAACGTTCCCGACCAGACAGAAGAAAAGGAGTGGAGAGTTCAGTCGTATTTGGAGCAGCACTTGAGGATTTGGCCGCAGTACGGGAACCGCATTCTGGCGCAGCACGACGAAGACAGCATTGTCGTCTACCAGGCATTCTGTAACGAAATAGCGGACTATGCTGTTCGATACCAAAAGTATGTTTATGCTGTGTTGCTCCCAACTAGATACTTACTAAGAAACTGTGACGTTGTTTGGTTTGTATAGATTTGGAGGTGACCATTTCTCCTTCACTCGCATGTCGTGGATTAAACCAAACTTTATGTGGATGATGTACCGTAGTCGATGGGCTACCAAACCGAACCAGGACCGTGTGCTGGCAGTAAGAATCACAAGGGCTGGCTTCGACCACATACTGTCGCTGGCATTCACCAGGGACTCTAAGAAAGCGGCAGCGACGAAGCAGCCAACTCTAGTAAGACTGCAGTGGGACCCTGACCACGACCCTAGCGGAGACAAACTACGGAGGAGAGCCATTCAACTAGGCCTCCGAAAACAGGTGTGGCCGCGGTCTTGCGTGCGCATGCGTATTGTAGGAGACTATTAAAAAAATCCTGCGAATTAGCATATGGGGATGGTATAAAAATAAAGGGAGACAAGATAGGGATGGGATACATGAAGCATGGTTAATGAACAGATTTGAGCACGCTGACACCCCGACCCCATCATGTAAACTCCATTTGGTAGCATGACTTTTTTCAAACTGTAAGTCCTGACTATTGTGCAATTGTGAATGTTTAGTACTTCACCTAGGCAACAATATAGGGATTGCGTGATTGGGTCGGGGTTTCAGCATGCTCAAATCTGTTCATTAATCATGCTTCATGTATCCCATCCCTATCTTGTCTCCCTTTCTTTTTGTACCATCCCTATAATTATGCCTCTTTAAATTCGCTGGATTTTTAATTTACTTGTCTCCATTCATTTTTTATATACTACTACATTATCTCTGTGAAAGGGCCTATAAAATTAAGTATAGAGAAAAATGGCTGTTGTCGTCATGGAATTGATGTGATAGGCAATGCGTACCAAGTTTCATCTCCATGTGTGCTGCCATTAGCAAGTTTGAGGAGAAGTCCCTGAAGCTATTTGAACAATAATTATGTATATTATAGTCATCATAAAAACATGTAGTTGTCATGGAAACGACGTAGTACCAAGTTTCACCTCCATGCGTGCTGAGGAGTGAAGAAGTAGTTTTTAAGAAAATGGCCTGAGGCTTTATGTGGTCGTCATGGAAACGTGTAATCGTCACGGAAATGATATAATAGGCATACACACCAAGTTTCATATCTATGTTAGAAAGTTTGAGAAGTGAAGAAGTAAATTTAAAGAAAATTTCCTGATGGTATTTGTTGTTGTTTACAAACATGTATTGTTGTGATTTTGATGTTGGTGATTGAATACATTATGTCTACAGAGTTTCGTTCACATAGCTCTTACCGTTTGTGAGTTATACTGACACATGTGATCCCATTATAATGTATTGCCTTGGGCTATTGTTGTTGTTTACAGTAAACAACAAGTTCAATCTGAACAAGAACAAGAAGAAGATGATGAACAAAACTCACTGTCGTAGCTATGATGCTGGGTACCATGCCCATCCCTTATACTAAGTACTACCGTACTTAGTGATACGCCGCTATAGTATGTCACTGTAGAAATTACGGAGATGTCCAAGCTTGATGCTACGGAGCATGCGCCCGCATAAAATGATAGCCTCCAGAATTTTATGCTAGTAGATAATTTGAGACACATTTTGATTAACTGAAGTTCAATTTTTAGGTTCTCAGAAGATACAGTGAAGAATGGATTGTAAAAATTGAGGATATAACGGAGTTTGTTCATCAGCAGTACAAGCTGGTCAAGAAGCGGAGGATAGAGGGTCTCATTGTTGCACAAGAACGTGTTTATCCCGTCTCTGACCCTAAAACTGCTGCTCAGATTGAACTTGCTCAGTAGTGCAGATTCACAGCATTATACTCACCCAATGAAGTAAATTCTGCATCCTATAATTCTGCAACATAAGTGAACATAATAGCTATTACATATGTTGCTATCATGTCATTACCTTCTGAAGGCATAGTTAGCCTGCCCCCACATCTAGCTATCACGAGTACAAAAGGTGGTCTGGGCAAAAAAATCGGATCTTCTTTGATTGCATTCTGTTGCTAAGAAGTCACTTTTTGTTCAACTGTAAAGGTGTTTGGTATGTGACAATGGTTTACTAACTAGTTTTACTGCCGATCCTTTTTGCATCGTTGGGCTATGGACAGCGATATCCCGTGACTATCACATCAGGACTGCCTTTTATGCGCGAGTAGATCCGCCCCTTCCACCCAGCCCCACCCTTCCCGCACACAACTCATTCTGAAGCTCTTTCGCAAGATAAACCATGGCATCTTCCAAGAGACAGCTGAAGAAATCGGTCAGTGCTCCAATGAGCGAAGAAATGATAAGCAACGAAACTCCACCAGCCGCCGCCACCTTGAGCGACAGTAAACGCAGAAAGAAACGATCAAAACAAAACAGCTTGGAACTGCTCAAAATGCAAATTTTTCACTAATCGAGAGGTGACTCCGCCACATGAACTCGCCAGGGAGGGAAAGCTGGAAGAGCTGAAAGCTACAATCGAGAATTATGGCTTGACTCTGAAAGAAGTGGACGAAAACCGGCGCACGATGTTGCACGCTGCAGCCGAAACGGGCCAGACGGAAGTGATGCGGTATCTCATCGACAGCGGGATACACATGAACGCAACGGATGGGGAGGGGAACACTGCTCTCCACGTCGCCGTCCTCAACAACCAGAGCGAAGCTGTCTGTATCCTGCTCGAGTCCAAGGCAGATGATACAATACTCAACAAAAACCAGGATGCCCCTCTTCATATCCTCTTTCGCTCGCAGGACAAGGACTTGATAGCCGCCTTCCTACAGTATCCTTCGATCGAGCTGGTCATCCCTGGCTACCGCAAACGGACGCCGCTTCACGTCATAGCTGAAACGGACAACTTGGGGGCACTTGAACTGCTCCACAATTCCATCTGCCTCAACAAAATCTTCAAGGAGAAGGTCAGCTTCCGACTTTGCGCCACTGATGCGGATAACCTCACGCCCATCCACCTGGCGGCGAGAGTGGGCTCAGCGAGAGCACTGGATTCAATGATGTGCAAGTGCATGGGGCACGGTTATCCACCCGATGTAGTCCTTAGCTTCCTCGATGAGGAAAACTCCACTCCACTACATGCAGCTGTGGACGGGGGACATTATTCTGTGGTGGAGGTCCTCCTCAAGCACGGTGCGGTCCCAACTCACATCAAGGCCGACCAACCGCCACCGATCCATCTAGCCTGCTCACAGGGTAAGCTGGATATGGTTAGAGTCATGGTAGAACATGGAGGGAAGGAATACTGCAGACGCACGACCAGTTTGGTCAAACCCCTCTCCACAGAAGTGCAAGTGGGCTGCAACTGCATTGGTGTCCTTTCATATCTCATCAACAAAGGGGTTGAGCTCAATGCCATTGACAATCAGGGACGTACCCCTCTCACCTATGCAATATTCATCGGAAGCCTATGCGCAGTGAGCACACTTATCAAGTATGGGGCAGACCCTCTCATCAAGGACTGTCAGGGTAACAATGCCTTGCATGTTGCAATCGACCGGCGACGAAAAGCAATTGTTGGGTGTCTCCTTGAGCTCCCGATAGCAGCACAGTTAGTAGTCGACTGTGACCTCAAGAGCCGTAATCCTCTGCATGTGGCCCTTTCCCACGGCTACAGTGAGCTAGTTTCCCCGTTGGTGTCCGCCATACGTCTTCAGCTCAGCAACTGCATCGATTCCGACGGCAATAACTTCCTCCATCTCGCGGCTGCCAGCGGTGACCACAGGGCACTTGCATTACTCCTCGACTTCCCCTCCAGCCAGACACTCCTCAACAAGACAAACGATAACGGAGGCACACCGCTCCACAGGGCAGCAGTGAATGGGCACACTCAGTGCGTTGAGCTACTGCTCAGTCACGGTGCCATGTCCCACCGGTGTCACGCAGGGGTCACTCCCTTCATGTTTGCCTGTTTGAACGGCCATGTCCAGTGTGCAAAGTTGGTCCATGTGGCATTCCCCTTCCAGAAGGACTGGACTGACAACAAGGGAAGCAATGCCCTCCACCTGGCTGTAAAGAGTGGCAGCGCAGCTACCATAAGCAACGTCCTCGATCTTGGGGTAGCAATCACGCACAACCATGAAGGAGTCAGTTTCTTTGATCTCACACTCGAGATACCCGACTCTAAGCTTGCCCTGGCTGCCATCTCAAACAACAGGTGGCAGGAAGTTCTCGATTGCGCCTCCCCCCATAGGCCACACCCAATGATGGGGCTCATACAACGCCTTCCCGAAGTTGCAAAGATTGCCCTTGACCGTTGTCGCATGCAATCAAAGCTTGACAAGCAAGACCCTAGCTTCTGGATCAAGTACAACTTCAAATACCTCAAGCTGGATAGCGCGTCTCCTGAACAAGATCATGGAGACGAAACACCCGAAGATGAATCAGTCCTGACAAAGCTGTTTGACCACCCAGCCATCAAATACAAGATCGAGTCGGTCATTGCAGAAGTCCCAAAGCCAAAGTGTGGAAATGTTCTTCAGGTGCTTCGCGAGATGATCCACTACAATCGAGTATCGCTCCTGACACACCCAATAGTGAAAGCATACATAAAGTTGAAGTGGCGAGATTACGGGAGGTCCGTGTACCTCATATACAGCCTCCTCTTTGCTCTCCAAGTCATTCTCTTGTCAACCTTCATCATCATCACACCCAACCCAACCCAGGTTCGTGTCAATGGAGAAACGCAGGCTGGTTTGAACACCTCAGGGTCTGGAGCGGGTGGTGAAGATGGTGAAATACAGATTAGTTTCACCTCAAATGTCGTGCGATTCCTAACCATCCTCTTTGCCTTACTGAATAGTGTCAACTGGGTCCTGTTCACTTTCAGTCTTGGTTTGAATGCCCTCAATCTTATTCGCAATGCATTCGTGTGGGCAGATTCTCTCGCCATCTTGTTCACCATCATCTATCTTCTCCCTGTGCATGGACTTCATTCTGCCGTGTGGGAAATTGGCTCCCTTGCTTCGTTCTTTTGCTGGTTCGGTCTATTCATCAAACTACAGCCTTTCGATGTGTTTGGAGTCTATGTGACCATGTTCATGACCATCACTCGCTCCGTTTTCCTGGTTCTAACAATCTGTTTCCTTCTCATTGCTGCCTTCAGCCTCTCACTGTATGTTCTTCTAGGAAACATTCCCATCTTTTCCACCGTTGGTTTCTCCTTCTTCACCAACTTTGGACACATGCTGGGGGAAATTGACTACACTCTTCCCATTCTTGAAGACAAGGAGGGGAATTTGGAGTACGAAAAACTAACCTTCGTATTCATCACCTTGATTGCAATTCTCATGTCGATTGTCATCATGAACTTGCTGATTGGACTAGCTGTTGGTGACATCGAGCAGATCCAGAGGAATGCCATTGCTGAGAAACGCACCCTCGAAGTGAGCATTTTTACACGTCTCAACTACAGCATGCCAAAGAGAATCCTCCAGAAGTACGATTGGCAGAGTTACACCTCCTTTCCAAACAAAAAACGATCATCTATTCGAAAACCGTGGAGAATCTTTTGGCATCTACTGAAAGGAGAAGACGACGACGACAGCTCAGAAACAAGCACCGAAATTGAAAAGGCCGAAGAGGCAAACATCCACCTTCTCCTCGCTAACAGACTCCAGATGATGGGGAGCCGTCTTGATGACCTTGCACAGGCCCAGCAGAACATGCTCTCAATGATACAGAAGCTACAGAATGGCCAACAGGAAGAGGGTAATGGGGAGACAATGATTTCCTAACTTATGACTATAATTTCCATGCTTCATAGCTAATTCATAATGACTGAATTGCGCTCATGCGCATGCATGGCGGTATCGAGGCGCATACGTAGAACTAATGAATATTATTATACCGTGAGGCAATACCATGATCGTCTGGCGCTAGCCTGATACCATGACCTTCAAAAACCGGGAAAGATCGACTATCATTATTAGCTCCCATCACAAAACGGCATTTAGCTAGAGACGCGCAATAATAACGGGGACCGTTTTGAATATCAAACCTCGGCGCACAAGCGGAGGGACTTGCTCTTCAGCTCGAACTCGGAAAGTACTATTACTACGCATGCGCGAATGTTTTAAAGTAGGAACGCAGTAATCGGCCGATCCTGACAGACCTCAGCGAAATAGCTACTGTTTAGTCATAACTTATCGGTGAAGGTTCTCCGTATGGCATATTATTTGTGGCTAGTAATATTGCTACTACTCCTCCTATACACTTACTACAAGTGAGTTATGTGGCTGAGCCAGGCTGAGCCATTTGGTTTGTGGCGTAGCTAGCTATGTGCGTAGCTACGTTGAGTAATGAATGCGTGCAGTTTATATACCGCGCAGGCAACTTTATCTGAGACAAAAAGCTATTACTAGACTCTAATGCTAATACTGTAGGTGGGGATATGAACCATTCCAAGTCTTCAAGAGGATGGGTATTCCAGGACCTCCACCAGCCCCATTCCTGGGGAATCTGGTCACACTCATCACCAGAGTGAGTGAATAGCTCTCACCATTGTAGTGTATCCATCCATGACATGACAGCTGTCCATCAACAGCTACTCCACTGGTAGTGTCTAAATATTATTATCGCAGTCTGCAGAGCAGATATCAGTGGGTTCCAATCTTAGCCTATGAACACTGAGAGTGGATCTAAGCCTGCTGCTTTTCCACAAACCTGTGGGCAGAGTTTACACTGTTGATGTATAGCTAACCTATGCGCTCACATGGGGCAGTATAGCTGCAGTGCTGTGTTTGCTGTGCATTATGGAACAACTATTAGTTATGCATCATAGATTTCACCTGACCATGAATGTCACTAAATTTCCATGAATTTTATTTTACTTTCCTTTTCTGAGCCTAAACTATTGCCATATGTAGGCCTTTGAAATTCCTTTGTGAGAGCATGAGACTGCAAGAACAAACTTAAAAGGTCGTGTACCTTTGATCTGACCATGCAGCACTATCATAATTATACATCACTTGTCTATCCCCTCTACCCTTGCCTAAGAATAATTGTGTCTTTCCTTGGGTGTAGCATGTATGACTGTAGGTTTTATGTCGCTGCAGAAAGATGGGATGGATGTCATAGCAGAGTGGAACCAAACCTATGGAGATGTGTGTGGGGGGTAAGACCGTGAGTAGCTATAGCTATACACATTTGAAAAATTCTCAGCTGATTAGCAAGTACAAGAAGAATTCACTACATAGTCCCAGTTTACACAGCCACATTATTAAACCACCATGTGTTGTAAGACTGAGAACTATATACTACAACTCTGGACAGTTGATCTTTATTGGAATTCTCATTGCCTTTTGTATAGCCAACATCCTGTCATTATTTCAGCTAGACGCTGCGTTTCACCATTCTCTCTCATTATTTTCGTTTACAGTTACTTCTGTGGTACATGGCCTTCAGTGTCCACTACTGATCCTGTCTTCATCCAGGAAGTTTTCATCACTTGCTTCAGACAGTTTCCGGATAGATGTGTATGCACCATGTGGATGTATAATTATACTAGACCATTGCAGCATTTCGGACTTTAGAAGCATGTTGAATGCCATGCAAATCATAGCAATGTGGAATACCCTGAAAACCAAGTTTCCACTACAACATTAGTGATTATGTAGCTAACAGTTCACTATTAGGAGTCATTCATGGTAACGGAAGTCTAAAACTAGGCGAGACTAATAGGATTTGTGTATTCCTTCATGTGATCATTACGTCTTCTAATTTTACAAGTGGAAAAAATAAAAAATGAAGGGGGATAGCTATAGGGAAAACTTGAAGCACCAAAAAGGGAGAAACAAGGGGTCATGAAGGGGTGCTTCAAGTGTTCCCTATAGCTATCCCCCTTCATTCTGAAGAAATGCTTTTTCTACTTGTTTCCACTATTTTTAATGGATTATGACAACACTGCATTTTCAGTCACTCTGCGAATTCTCTCGTAGGCAACTGAGGGCAAGTAGGAAGTTTTGGGGCATATTTATAGCTAGATATTGGCCTCTAGACTATTGCTAGTGATTTGAAGCCATGGTGAGTCATTCTCGCCAAGTTTTGAGGCGTTTTTTACGCGGATTATGTGAGATTTCACCCGCCCCATCCCTATAATTATAGAATATCTATTGACATCTGATAAGGTGCTGAAGGGTTTGTCCACAAAAACAGTATATTAGCCATTATATGCAATATTGCACAAGGCAACTGTACAAGCTGTGTGTCCACTCGCGGTTCTGAACTTCAGAGGTAAAAGTCGGCAAGTTAGGTATATACTCATATGTGTTGATATGTCGTGTTAGCAAGCTACCTCACTATACACTCTCTGTATTATTAGGTGATGTCACTGGCAAACACCCAGGCTACTGGACTGCCTCCCGGAATATTTGAGTCCAGTGGGAGAGGGAGGTGGAGGAGTCTACGACACATCACAGTGCCTGCTTTTAGCAAGACAAAACTCTCCATGGTAGGCCATCTACTAATGAACAAGCTCAAAATGGAGTGAGGATGTAGAAATTGTGTGAGCCAATGCTCTAATATTCACCGATAAGGGACCTTCCAGGATAGGGAGACCTTTCTACAAAGGTCACTTGTTTAATACTTAGTGTATTATTTGACTTCCGAGATAGGTAGACCTCTCTACAAAGGACACTTGTTAGTGTATTATTTGACCTCGGAGATAGGGACGACCTCGTTACAAAGTGACAAATACCGTTGGCCCCATAGTGTCCCTTCTATTGTATATTATACTTTGATCTAGACAAAACTAACATGGTAGGCCAAACGTACCACGTACATAATATTCTATTTTCTGATGCTCTAGATGTCCCAGCATCTGGAAAAGAGTTGCTCTGTGATGTTTGACAAGATGCTGGAACAGAGCTCTATAGACTTGGACATTGATGTGCTGAAGTCAGTTCTCACACTACATCCCACCTAGGGCAGCTCTTTGAGCAGCTCCTTGTTTGCTGTACCTTTGCACCTTGTGGTTGACACATGCACACAGTACAGTTCAGATATATTTCTAACTAAGAACCAATGATTATAGCTACATAGCAATTGGAAGACAAGAAACAATCTGTCAGTTCCATAGCTACTGCACCTGTAAAGTAAAAGGGCCCATGTGTATCACAGGCTCTACAAAGACTGTATTTTGGAGGCCTCCATACTGGCAGTCTTGGGGCAGGAAGTGTGGCTACAGAAAGGCGAAGCTGGCGAGTTTAAGTCATGGATGGAGCTGGGAGGAAAGATATCGCATGGAACACACCCTCTTTCTCCCATGTTCTATGTCCCCGTGGATCTCTTTATTGGACGTAAGTCACTGTCTATTTCTTTACTCTGCTGCTGCAACAAAAAACAAACCTCACAAATCTGAACTTTAGCCACACCCCAAATTTTACACAGTCTATGTAACATACAAGCACAGTTTATTATTGCTAAAAGTTTGCCCCTAGCCTGGCTAGCCAGGACTTTAGCATTTCACCTTGGACTGAGACTTTCCAATCACATAGGCATGAGTATTTGTACATCTATTATCATAATTACTTGTCTTGACATAACATACTCATGTTGTAAAAACTTGTCACTCTTGTTTGCTGTCCGGTGGCTAGATCAATTCCAGTGGTTTGTCAAGTTCTACTACTGGCTGGGTGCTGGGCGCTGCATTCCAGCATTTCGCAGGTTAAAGGGAGTCATCACCAACTGCATATCTGAGCGAAGAACCAAAGCAAGGGAACAAAAGGTTGGTCAGGCCAAAAAGCTCTTAAACTCTAACTTCGAACATTGAATAGCGCACTAGCCTTCAGGTCGAAGGTTAGAGTCCCATCGAGTGCAGCAGAAAAAGTGTTTTCCTGTGTGTGTCGTTGATTGTCTTGCTTATAGGGTTAGAATTTCAAAGTCTATAAAGCGAGCTAATGATGATTGTCACTGAAATGCTACATTGTCACAAGCCTTGATTATAGACACCCCTGTTTGCTTTTTACTCTTTCTCAGCTACAGGAGAACAGTGTTATAGACTTGTTGGTCGCTGCCAGTGAAGGTACAGGAGAAGGCAAGGGAATGAGTGATAATGAGATCATCTCAAACTGCCTCATCTTCCTCTTTGCTGCCTACGACACGACATCTCTCACACTACACCCTCCACTCTACACACCCTTGAACTGGCAGCAACCACCAACAAAACCCCCACCACTTCCAAACAAGCTGTGCCCCCGTCCCAAGACATCTGGGAAAAGACTTCCCTGGCAAGCCAACAGCATATGGATAATGGAAACGCACACACCGGAAACAAGAACACCACAGTATTCAAACAGCATAGTGTCGGAAAATACCCACACAAACGCCTCTGCAAACAGGTAAGCGGCTACCGCACGACGGCTAGAAACCGGACACACCCCACACACAGGACCCCACGGGGCAGAACCCACCCCACCAAAACCGTGACCACAACAGTCCAACTCCACCCCCAGTGGCAACTCTTTTTTCCCTGAGGGGATTAACCCACAATGCACAGAAACACTCTGTGTCTACGGCAAGAGCGAATCAGCAATCTGTAATATTAGAAGCTAGCCATCATCTTTATCACCTAGAACAGGAAAGCGCACCGGACTCCGAGACCCAAGATGGAAGTACGACGGCCGACACCACCATATCAGACAGTCTTCTTACGGATTCTATAACCTGCACCGATCTGAACGTAGCTAACATATCATAACATTCAGCACTCTCCATCACGGGCTCCGACAGACAATGGCCTCCCCTATTCCAACTTTGTGCTTTACAGAACTCTAAACATTAAACATGTGCTTTCAAAACTGCCCAGGGATGAGCACCAGTGTCTTACTAAGTCACCCAAAACACTGTTTTATGTAGTTTTTGTT